TTTTAACTAAATAAGTGGGTTTTTATGTATGCCTCTAAAATTATAGAAATGTTTTATCATCCGAACACAGTCAGTACATTGTGGCTCTGTTCATAGTTAATGTTAGCTTTTCCTATTTTACTATTAAGGCTCCCATCTTTTTTTTACATGTGGATGAAGCAATTATACTTGTATTTTCGCTTGGATTTTGGTAGGTTTTCGTGTGTGTGTGAATGAGTCCTAATGAAGCTATGTTCGGTTAAGTGCAACGTAAGTCGCATAGATAGGCATTGCCTTTAGTTCATGTTTGAGTTCTGTTGATCTCTCGATCAACTCTGCCTCACACATAATAATCAACAGGGTTGCATTCTGGGAAGTTAAATGGCTAGATGTAAGGGGCGATATGGTTGTAGAAACTGTCTGACAGCCTTGACTAGGTTCTCCTGCTTGTGTGGCATGGTGCAGAGTCCTGTTGCCAGACACAGGGTCTTCCAACAGCCACCTTCTTGACCCAAGACAGCACTACCTCCTGATGGCAATTGATGTAGGCCTCCGTTTTGAGTGTAAGTCCCTCACCAAAAAAATTCGGGTGTCCTTGTCTTATCAGAATGATCAGAGTGATTTATTCCGAGCTGCCGTTCCTTCATAATCACCATTAGACTCATCCAACTCTTCCAAATCGTCTGTACTGTCCTCAGATGGACAGCCAAATACTCTGAAATGTTGGTATTAGAGCTTCCGGTGCGAATGCCAAGCAGTACAGCATGCTGTTTCCAAATTTCTCGTGGAGTGAATTGCGTCATGGTGCTCTTTTTCTCACAGGTGGTGCCAACTGACACCCACTATACTGTGCAGTTGACAAAATCAAAAACAAACAACATGCATGTACGAAATTAAAAATATAAAATGGCAACAATTTACCCATCGCACCCTGTACGTATATGTCTGTGTTTGCATGATTGTGCGTGTTGTGTGTGTGTGGAGGTGTGTATATACGTGTGTGTGTATAATCATTGGAACTAAATTCTGCTAATTTTACTTATTTACTTCCAAATTGATTCGAGTGGTGCCTTGTTCGCGAAGAGCTTACGAGCTGCAATAGCTTCGTAATCACCTTTAGACTCATCCAACTCTTTCCGAATCATCAGCACTGTTCTCAGATTGACATCCGTACATTTTGAAATATTCGTATTGGAGCTTCCGGCATGAATACCAACCAGTACAGCATGCGTTTTCCAAATTTCTAGCAGAATAAATTGCATTATGGTGCTCTTTTTCTCACAGACGGTGCCCAACAGACCCCACTGCACTGTACAGTCGACAAAATCAAAAACAAATAACGCGCATGCGCAAAATTAAAAAATATAAAATGGCGACAATTTACCCATCGCACTGTGTACGTATATATGTGTGTGCGTGTGTGCATATGTGTGTGTAGGTGTGTGTCTATACGTGTGTGTGTGTGTATAGTCATTACAATTTAATTTCTGCTAATTTTACTTATTTACTATCAGATTCGAGTGGTACCTTGTTCACGAAGGAATTGGACATTTTCAGGTCTCTTGAACAAGGCACCAAAAACACCAAAAATGATGCTAGATATTCTTGTTCGACCATATGAAGCTCCTGGAATTAACCAGCAGCTAAAAATAACCTGATCTATGTGTGAATTTCGCTTAATTCATTATCACTCCGAAAGCCAAAACATTTGAGAGGAGGCTGCCCATTTTTTCTCGCCATTTTGGGTTAACTTTCTACAAGAAAAAAGAATAAAGACCATTTATTTGCTATTAGATATGTCCAGGATGACGCCCGGTATTGTCATATTTGACGGCAGTAGGTCTACTGATATTGTTCAGAAGCTAGGCTTGCACTAGACACGAGCTATATGAAAAAACAGTTTTTTTCATAAAAAAAAAACCTCATACGTTTCAGTATATTTTAAATAGACCTATACACGAGTATACACGATGTATTGTTATAAGTATGTCCTAATTTTTTAACGCTGATTGATTAATTAATAATAAAATCTGACATCACGTATATATACATACATACATACATATATATATATATATATATATATAAAAGTGAACATAAAGTCAACACTTAGAAGAGACAGTCTGTTTCATGCTAGATGCAATATTGCATCTATATTTATATATATATATATATATATATATATATATATATATATATATATATATATATATATATATATTATGAATTTATATAAAGGTAGTTCCATCATACACCACGACTTACCATAAAAAAAAAAGCTAAAATTCAAATTCAATTATAGAATTAAATTAAATTCCCTAGTTCTGTTTCATTTTCGAGCAAATTTTGGAATTACAAAATTCGCTTAAAAATGAAAAAGAACTAGGACCTTTAATTTAATTCTATAATTGAATTTGAAGTTTTAGCTTCTGCTTTTGAAACATGGTAATTCCTGTGTAGCGATGGAACAATATTCTTAAATAAGTAAAATTATAACATTTATGCTCTGTAGATTTGCATT